TTGTAAATGAGTTATTAAAGAATACACAAGACAAAGCAGAGTGTGGATACAAATTTCAGTACCAGGTCTGTACATGTCAGCTTTACTACACAAGTCTTAGAAGTTTCATATGGGTATTTTGTACGCAGGGGACATGAGTGAAAGGTTTACAATGACATGAGGTGCTGAAACAGTCTTTGAGTCTTTGGGAAGGCAATTTCCAGCCAGAGGTGTCTGCTGTCTCTCAGCCAGCAATCCCAACCTGCACAGGATCAGAAGTTTATCTCCAGGAAGCTTTATCCTGCTCAAGCTCCCACAGCTCAAGTACCCCCATCTCTGAAAAATGTGAGACACAGCAGTTTACCCATCCAGCCATGGTTTCTGACTACTTGTTCTGTGAAGGAATCTCTTCTCTGGAGCTTCTGTGTGTGTATAAAGATAATGAAAACATTTTCAGCTACACTAAACAGGAAACAAGTGGCAAGGGAGCAAGCTGTATGAACAGCAGTGCTCTCCCAATGCATTGCCACCTACTCAAATTGTGTAAGGTGCCGCATAAAAGAGCAGGATAGGATGGCAGCTACTCCAGCAATTATTGATGTCTGTGAGGTGTGAAATTCCTTAACTTCCTTGCAGTGGGACAGAGGCTAAAAACACTGGACTTCAGTGTTTTGCCTTGCAGCAAATTTTGGAAAAAAGATTGAATTTTCCATAGAGTTGTTTTTTGACTACCACCACAATATTCTTGGATCTGTATGGGCTTTGTCTAAGAGACAAAAGTACTACTGGTCAGATCTGATGCCTGTCAGTGTGCATATGGGATTCACCAAAACAGCTTGTAGGCTTTGTTGAAGCTAGAAATATGGATGAAAAATGGACATAACTTTATCAGTTTAAAAGCTAGATGTTCAGTTTGAGCTGTTATCTATGCTTTACTTATAAATAAAGTGGTAAAGGAATGAAAAAGAATTTTGTTAACAGCTCCGCTCATGCCATCTAGGAATTATTAATTTGCTGGCCTTTATACTTCAACCACTTTTGTGGTAAAATCTATGTGGGAAAGTAGCTGCATTGAAACTCATCTCAGCTTCATGCACTACAACAACCAGATCTCTGTAGCTCAGCCTCTCTGAAGCCCAGATGAATTTCTGGTTCAGGTTTCACCAGTTCAGGATATGTTGTACTGCTTATTCCAGGTGGAAAACATCTTCCCTTGGCTAAAAGGTGAACTGGCTTAGCCATTTAAGCCCTGCTTTAAAAAAATGCTAAAAGTTTTCAGAGGGTAATTCAGCTGCCTGTCTTGCACACCTGTATTAGGATCTGCTGAAATGCTCTCTTAAGTTGCAGCGTTCTCTCTCCCTCTCTCTCTGTTTGTTGACAGGAAGCTTCCAGGAGCCTGGAAGAGGTAACTTCTGGGTGCAAGAACTCCAACAAACTACTCAGAAAAAATATCAAGACAAGAACAGTGAACCTAAAGCTAAAGAGTACAATGGTTGTGGCATGTAGTTCTTCACAGGTGAAATACTGAACTGTGCATCTATTCATTCAGCCACATAGAACTGATTCCTGAATAGTGCTGCTCTTTGTTTTTCTGCTGGGAGCTTTGTTCTACCTCCATCCAAAAGCAAAATACTTCAGTTTTTCAGAGAAATAGCTTTGTCTGCAAATTTTTATTTTGAGAACAATGGTCTGGTCTTTGAGAACACGAACCAGAAAAAGTTAAAGGTAAAGCCACAGAATGGTGGCCCCTGTCCATATTTTCTACCTCCAAATTAGCCAGTGGTTTTCCTTAATAGCAAATTTGTCATACAGCAAACATACATGGTCCATATGGTTTACCATAGCCAAAAATACATGACAGAGAAAAGAGAGAAAATGCTTAGTACTACAAAATCAACAGATGTCATGCTCAGAAAAATGTAAGCAATTTATTGCTAGTCTAACTTGTATCATTCTGCATGATTGTAATAAAGCAAGGGAGTTTAATTGTTGCTAAAAAAAACAATCAATCTTTTACAGGAATCCCGAGGATAAAGGCAAAAGATGGCATTGAGCCCAGCTTTAATAACCTCCAATGACATATGAACCTTAATTTGCTTCAGTAAAAAGGTATTTTTTCTTAAAGTGCATTTTTTTTTCTTTCGGACAGACACTTGACTACTGTATTTAATACGCACAAGCTGCCTTCAATTCTTTTTTTTTTTTTTTTTTTTTTAAGTGTGTGCAGTGCCCAGTGCTGGATTAAAGTGAAAATGTTTAGAACAAGTGGAAATCCCTGAATACACCCTTTCAAATGTTTTAAGGATTTTTAAGCTTTCCATGGAAAAATGGATGAATTAATTAGAAAGTTCACTTGGTATAAGTGGATTCCACGGAAAAATTAAATTCCAAGGTCTCAAGCTGTAAAACTGCGCCACCCTTTAATACAAGCATACCCGATATTCAATAGATTCGTGATCTTTAATTATTTTTTCCAATACATCTATCCCAAATTTCCCCTGTATATCTTTTTTCTCTGGTTTATCTATTAAGAAAATCCCAGCTGCTGTTAAATTCAAGTACAACTGAAAAAAACAGACCTTTAAATGTTCCCACAACACTTCTGCTTCTCCTTTTTCTAGATGATGGATGAGGATTGGTTTGAATCCAAGAGTTTTCCTGTGCCATGAAAAGGTGGGGGTGAAACAAAACAGGAGAAAATTCATCTAGGTTTTGTTGGTTTTGACCTACATTTCCTTCTTGCACTCCCACTATAAATACAAAAGTTTCAGCATTAAATTCACTCTTTGCATGCAGACAGGGAAGAACACTGAAGTCAGCTGGAACTGGAACATCTCAGTGAATATATGCAAAATTAAAATATGTCTTTCAAGCATCTACAGACAGAAGCAATTCTGCTGGGAGAACCTAATACAACCTTTAGCACATATATGATGCTGAGAAAGTTTAGAAAAAGCTCAGGGTAGAACTGTTGGCCTTGACACTAGCACTCCCTTCCATCATTCCAACAGTCATCCTATATATGTGCACACTTAGACTGATAATAAGACCTTTTGTCAGAAAAACATCCCTCGCCTTTTGTAATTTGACAGCATCCTGGAATGATTTTATTTCCATTTTATTAATCTTCCTTTTCTTTTTTTTTTTTTTCTGCCTTCCCCGCCCAAAGAAAAATACTTCAAGCTACTGGACCACAGAAATTCTAGAAAACTGGCTTCCCCAATGCATTTTCAGATGTGAAACAAAACAAAACCTCCAAAATGGTCAGGAGGTTAGGAAAGACTTTCCTTCCCAATTCTGTTGCTAAAAGTTATATTTGACACACTGGCAAAATCCTAATCCAATAATCTGTACAAAAATTTCAATTGACTATAGGGCGAGCTGCTCTTCACAATGTCTTATGTTGATATCCTGAAAATATTATTCTCTGCTGCCCAAAGAAAAGAAAGATTAATCATTAATATTGTTCTAGATTATATCATTATTTTAACTTTTATCTAGAGGTCCTGCAACAGGAAAAATCTCTTCTCTGTTAGACCCAGCATACTAGGGCCAGGGGTATTTCTTCTGAACTGTAGGAAAAAAAAAAAAAAAAAAAAAAAAGAAGAAAAAAAAATCCTCGGTATTGCTAAACTGTAGAGCTACATGAGCTTGAATGCAGCTGAATTAATTTTATAGTATTCTTAATAGAACTTGCTACTTCTCTAAAGCCAACAAGGATGCTAACACCAGTGTCAGTGTTTAAAGGCATCATTGCTGGTACCTAACTGTGCTAAACATACTATTAATTATACAGGTGCCTAGAGTGACCTGCAGTTATATGAAGTGATCAGAATAAAAACCTGGTGAATTTCAAGCAGTCGGAAATGGCTGGTTCCCGCCTTGAAGTTTTAGTTGGACTGTACCATTAAATCAAAAGGTACGTGAGCAAGTGTTTGAAGATTCCCAACAGGAAAATTTGAAATATGCCAAAGGGAGAGTGAATGACTCACAGCTATTTTAGGAAGAACTTGCTGTGACAAACTTAAAGCCCTTGTGATGGATTTATAACAGAATTTATTTTCAGTACTACCTACTGCTATAAAAGGTACAGAAATTATTTTCTCTCTCTCTTGCTGGATGAAAGGCCCATACAAACATGGTAGTTTTAAGCTCAAGAAAAACAACAGGCAGCACAAAGAAAGGGAAAAATATTTTCCAATCATAGACTGTTTACAAATGCCTTACAACAAATGATTTTGGCTGATGGTCCAAAGGCATTAGATGATTTTATTGATCTCTATTGTATTGTAGTAAATCACTACCAGCTCTATATAAAATGACCATAGTTTGATAGCCTTCATGATGATATGTTTTGAAACCAAATCTTTGGAAGCTAAGTTTTACCATTGCTCATTATTTCCATTAAATTCAACTGGAAAAACTACATCATGCTCTCACACTGGCAGTTATCAATGTTTGCTCTGGGGACCTCTGACTTTGAGGAGAACTAAATGATACAGTTGTTTGCATGCATAATATCCAAATATTTGCACAGGCTATATATATTTACAGAGGGTTCTGTTTATACAGGTTCCTGCCTGAAGTGGCTAGCTAAAAACTAGCTCCCTTCTGAAAGCTATATGATCATATCAGCATAGAAGGATGTGGGGTGACTGTGGGAGGCAAAGCACTTTGCTGGCTGTTTGGACCCAAGCTGGTGCTGGAGGGTGGAGTATGCAAAGCACAGGATTGCCTTTGTGCTTTAGGATTGCATTGACAGATGTTTGGAGGCATCTCAGCTCCGAATGTGGGTTTTGTATCTACAGGCAGATGGCCAGACCAGAGGAGGGCAGAGAAAAGGCTGGTGTCAACTCCAGGGTGAAGCTGGGATGTGGATGATATAGAAACAGCCTTTTTGTTTTTACGGGAGGCTGAAATTATCTGTAATGGCTTACAGGTGTAGCCTGCATTCTGTAAACACTTAGACAGTTGGGAATAGTCATTGCCATGGCAGTGGTGGTGGTTGAGTTACCATTGTGTTCAGCCTGGGGAGAGGTAGCAAGCAGGCCTCCACGGTGAGGCCGTACCACACATGAGTACAATGCAGGCACTGGAACAGCACTGGTAGAAAGGGAAGGGCAAACCAAAACTTAAGAAAACCTAGTTTCAGTTAAAAGCAGAGTGAAGATGGGTTTGGTCTGATTAGCAGTGGTGGCTCCTCTGTGGTCTGGGGGTGGCTCTGGCCTCCATGTTTGAAAGGAGGTTTCATTCCCCACACAGCCCCTCAGGGAAGCTCTCCCTCTCTGGATTTGTGCATGACAGAGCCAGAACCTGGGCAGCCAGGCAGCATTTCATCTTCCCAGCTCAGCTGGCGCTGAGTTTCCCAAGTGAGCAGATGACCACAAGTGAGGTGTTGCAAGCTGATCCTGGGGAGGTATCTCTGCAGGAAGCATAAGGGCATGCTGTGCAGGGAGCCCTCCTCCTCCTACTCTCCCCATGCCATCATGTGCTCCAGCTGCCCAGCAGCACTTTTCAGAAACAGATAAGCATCATCTTGAACTCATTAAAATTGTCTTAATCTCTTACAGCTTTTTTTTTCTTTTTTCCACAAACAAGCTGTGTTTACCCTCCCCTCATCTACAAAATAAGGGTGATATCCAGCGATCTGATAAGCCCTCAAGATATTTATTTTAATACACTGGCCTTTCACTTCTGAAGATTAGAGAGTCAGTCCTCTGGGGGCTGAGAAAGCCTTAACAGTGAAATTCAAAGTGGCTTGGAAATGTTTTGGTTTGGATTCATTAAATACCTTACATGTGTGAAAGACTCATCTGCTAGTGTGTCCAGTAGCACCATTGCAGCAAGATGTATTCTGGAACTGCTTTTTACCTGAGACACTTGTGGTGTTCAAAATGCCTGGCTCGGCAGTGTGAAGATGGGTGACCCCTGCCTTCGGTCTGCTCGTGCTCCCGAGGCGTGACACTGCAGGCTGTGTGCTGCACATGGGGGTAAAGCTTTAGGGGAGACCAGCACTAGGCAGGATCTGCTTAACATGCCCCTTGGGCAATTTGGCACGTCTGTCCTGCTGGCAAAACCAGTCTCCATTTGTATGCTTCTCAGAGGCAACCTGAGACTCCTTGTCCCTGCTGGCTGTCCCTGGAAGACCCCAGCAGAGCAGGCGTCGTGAGGGATGATGCTTCGGAACTACTGGGAATATTTCAGCGTTGGAAATTGATAGCTTCAGAAAGTAACCTCTAACCATTCCTCCTTGGCTGCAAAGGCTTCAGTGAACAGCTTTGGCAGGAGCAGATGCCCAACTAGCCACGAGAAAGAGTGGCTTTTCGCCTCTGTGTCTACCAGAGAGAGATACCCAAACCAGGGATGAAGAAATCTGAGGGACTGACACAGCCTCCAGAATCACTTCTATGGATTAAAACTTAGAAGATAAGATAAACAGTTATACAGAACTCTTTATTGCAACAGTTTATTTTTCCCCTCAGTGCAAGTTCATGCTGTCACACCAGACTGGTGAGGCCTTCACAAGTTTTCTCCCTGTATAGGCTGCAGAGGGTCTCATGAAGTAGCAGAATGTGGAAGAGGAGCAGGGGCACCTGTGGAGGAGAGCAGGGAGGGAGAGCTAGCAAGACTAACTTCTGATAGTCGCCTGTCCCAGCTGGAATTGAATTATGCCACTTGTGAATTTTTCGTAGTTACCAGCTGAAAGGCATTTTGTAAAGCAATTACAGCCAATCAGCAGAAGAGCTGAGTGTTTTGCTTCCCCATCAGCTAAAAGGAGCCATGAGTTATACTAATATTATTATTTTATTTTTGGGGGGTGTAGGGGGGTGGGAAGAGGAAAGGAACCATAAGAAAACCATTATACTTGTTCGTACTGACAACAGGAAGGAAGGAAATTGAATTAAAATTTTGTTAGCAAGTGTGGTAATTGCAGAGTATTTTTCTGCTGGGCTGATTTCCCTTCTCTTGTTGCAGAGCCTTTCCCATCCAAAGACAGAGGAAGGCTTCCACAATCCCCTACACACCTGCAGGGCCTCAGCTTCCTCTGGGTAAGGTAAAAGCTCTATGGGCAGTGAAGGAAACATCTTGTGTCGAGTCTCGGCCTGGCCATGGCTCAGAGACTGCTGCCCCTTGCCAGGATCAGCCAGGAGGAAGCACACTAGAGTGGGTGGGAGCTCATCCATTGTGTGCTGGGCCATGTGGGGAAACAAGGGAATGAAGAGGACAGAAAGCTCTTTCTACCTGATTAAGGCACTTTGTTTTGGCTACTGGAGGATGCTTTCCCTTTTAACTTACATTAATGTGGATTGTCTACAGGAGACAGCAGAGGTAGAGCTTAGTATTGCAACCTAACCAACCCTCCCTGTTTATTTATTTTTCTTCATTATTCTCTTAGTGTGATGGTAACACCATGGAGCAAATTCATTGCAATAAAGAACAGAAACAAAGTTCCAGTTTCCTCAGCACCAATGCATCATGAGAAATTAAACCTAACGCTCATTTCCTAGAATAGCATTAAGTTCTATGAAGAAATGAATTGTTCAGCTGGCTTCTTAATCTAGATGACAGTTTTATTACAATTAAAATATCACCTCTAGGAGGCCCTTTGTTTGCATTTGACAGATTTTATTGTGTTTATATAGGCTAATGAAGCAGAATGAAATTATGGAGCTTATATTAAATTTAAATGACTGATTTATTGTATTTAAAACCTAAAATTTATCATGCATGTACTTTAATGCCACGCAAACTACATTAGTTCACCACTGTTTTATATTTTCAGTGATTTGCCCAATTGAATAAAGCTTTGTGAGTGCACTAAAATAAGGTGAATTAATGTCCAAATAGTTAAAATGAGAAAGACCTTCTTTAAGCAGTTTAAGAGGGTAAAAATATTGCTATACTAGACCTAGTCAGTGCTTCAGGTCAGTGGTTCTAATTTCATGGGTTACTATGAGCGATTTCAATGAACAGCTTTAATTTAAGCCTCTGCCAACTAAGCTCAACTTCCTATCTGCTCATTGTTGTTGTTGAGCTTTATTATTGCTTATTTTTATTGGTCTAGGCAACTTCCATATTCCCCATTGAACGTGACGCTCAGAAGGTGACTATTGCATACAGTATTCTGTACTTACATGGAAACCCAAATACTTGCTGTTCATTTGTATTGTTTTAATCACCGTATATCTGAATACACTATTCACATTAATCTTAATATTGTTCAGATGATGTAATTCCTCTCACGTTACTCTTTATTTTTTTTGGTTTTTTTTTTGTTTTGTTTTGTTTTTGCTTTAGGTATTTACAGATCATCTAGTTACTCCATGTTTTCTTCCTTCATCTTCCTTCATTAACAAAAAGAATTAGATACATGTGAAAGCTCACTGAAAAAAAAATAATATATATATATATATATATATATATCAAGTGAGTCCAGAGAAGGGTGACCAAGCTGGTGAGGGGTCTGGAGAACAAGTCTTACGAGGAGCGGCTGAGGGAGCTGGGCTTGTTCAGCCTGGAGAAGAGGAGGCTCAGGGGCAACCTTATTGCTCTCTACAGGTACCTTAAAGGAGGCTGTAGAGAGGTGGGGGTTGGTCTGTTCTCCCACGTGCCTGGTGACAGGACAAGGGGGAATGGGCTAAAGTTGCGCCAGGGGAGTTTTAGGTTGGATGTTAGGAAGAACTTCTTTACTGTTGTAAGAACTTCTTTACTGGTTGTGAGGCATTGGAACGGGCTGCCCAGGGAAGTGGTTGAGTCACCATCCCTGGAGGTCTTTAAAAGATGTTTAGATGTATAGCTTAGGGATATGGTTTAGTGGAGGACTGTTAGTGTTAGGTCAGAGGTTGGACTTGATGATCTTGAGGTCTCTTCCAACCTAGAAATTCTGTGATTCTGTGTGATATATATAAATCTAAGATGATGACTTTAGGATCAGATGGGTTGTGCCATAATGCCTTTATTCTCCTCTATGTAGAAGAACTCCAAAGTGATTTGTGTAGATGTAGAAGATATCTACAGTGCAGAAATCTATGATTAGTCAGATTAACCTGAAATATTGCTAAGATATGTTCCAGTCATAGTGAATACTATTACTTTTATTGGCAATACAAGCATAAATGAAGAGATTAGGATATAATTTATGGTAAATCATCTTCCAAAACAAATAACTGGAATCACTGCCATTAGGGTATATCACACATAATTCTAGGAACATTAAGTAGACCAAAAAGTGCTTTTTAAGAGTGGCAATATTGCTGAAAACTTATATTTCAGAGAATAAATTAAATTCATGTATCCAATTTGAATCTGACAACAAATTTTGGCCAAAGCAATAATGGAAGGAGAATTTCAGAAGACCGTTTTTCGTTTTAAACAGCAACACTTGTTGAATTCATGATATCATTGATTTATTTTCTTTCTGTAGCACTGCTATATCTTCAGCTTGGCTTTTCACTCAGGCTGTTAGCTCATGGACATATATTGTTTCATACGTAATACTGTGGGGGGAAAACAGATATTGGGACTGATTTTCTGCTTAGTTATTATAACAATATGACTGAATGAACAACTTAAATGATTTCTGTGATTAAATGTATTGTGTAACAATACAGATAATTCCCTCATATTTGTGGGTATGAGTAAGTCGGATGTAGGAGTCAGCTTTAGTTTCTAGGGCTTTATGCAGCATGATGAATCTTACTGCCCTCATCTTTCAGTTCCCAGCTGTCTGTCGTAGTGTCTGTAGATCTACAGTGTCTGCCTGTGGGTGGCATCTACCAATTTAATCAGCAGAAACAGTTTTGTTTTATCTCTAGGACTCAGCTGTGCTGATATGATTCTGCTCAGGCTAACCAAAGATTTGGTAACTTGCATTCCTTTATGATGCCTTATTTCAACTGTAGAAAAGTAGGACTAAGCAGGAAATAATGTGGAAATATTCTCCTTGATGAGCCTTCTTACTTGTTGCCACCTCCCCATTCAGCCATGGAAAACACATAGGCTCACAGATCTGTTAAGTACATATAATGTAGAAGGATTTGGTGAATACTATGCACCATGGTAGGAAATCTCAGAAAGCAGAATCTTCTTTAAAAATAAAGACTCTGATTCAAAAATGATTAGTTTTTAATAGTTGATATGAGACGCAGCTGTGTCTAGTAATGTAAGTTCAGCATGAAGTTTCCTCTGTATGACTCATTTGAGGAAATAACATTTTTCTTCCATTGAGTTTCAAAAGGGAAAAGATAACAGGCTATATCAGAATGCACAGAACCCAATACTGAAAGATATGGCTGCTTTAATATAACATAGTCATCCCCACCAAAATCAAGAAATCAAATCATGGCCTATCCTGCAGTGAAGGGCCTGCACCCCATATGTTTCCCTTTTCAAAGTTTCTACCCTGAGGACAGGTTTGTCTCTCTAAGACATGTCTAGTGTCCTGCCCACAGATTGCACAAAGAAACCAGAAGTCCTGGCAATCCTGGAAAGCTCATTAGTGAAGAATATGAGTTGCTATCGGAACTTTTTTAAAAACATTTTATTAAAAAAATAAATAAAAAAGTGAGAGGAGAAAACAACAACAAAAAGTAATATGCCTGTGAATGGGGGAACAATATACATCATTCCCAGAGCACAACTGCTTATTCCTTTGTCTGATTTGTCTGGCTTCTGTCTGTTTCACTCTCCATAAATCACAGTGATGCAATGATCCTTATGAGCAGAGTTGTGTGCTAAAGATGTCCTTGCCCATGTGGTGTTGTTAAATAGCGCTCGGGTAAACTGCTGTGTTTTGCAGCAGATAATTTGCTACAAAGTAGTTATTGGTTCAAAATGTACCAAAAAAAAAAATGTGGTAGAAAAGGAAAAGGTCCTTTTCATAAGCTTGTGTAAATAATGTCTACCAAGGAAGGGTCTTGTCTGTGCCTGGATCTGGTATCAGTTGGATCTGCTATCTCAAAAGTAATGAAGCTCTTCAGAGACAGATATGAAAAAGTCAGTAGAGACCTTTGGTGCTGTGGACATTGCATTGGCACACTAAACTGGGAATAATCCATTAGATAAGATTTTTGTGATTCCTTTGATATTTGAACAACTTCATTTTTTTATGATAGTAAACTTTTTCCTGTAAATATGTAATCATCTGATTCTTTTTTTCTTTATTTTTATGAAGTGACAAGTCACTCACTGCATTTTCTCTGGAAAGCTTTGGGTGCAAGTTGGACAAGACAGTCTCATGGAGGGTCTGAGGACCACTGAGAACTGTCTTCACTTAGAAGTAGATGGCCAAACCCTGAAGGTTTTAAGCTTTCATTGAAGAGCTCATGCTGTTAAATATAATTTTAGTACTATTCTTTTTCTTTAAAAGTCAGTTGACTTAAGAAATGAGGATATTCTATTCTGCAGTTTATGGGCAGAGATCTGTATTTTGGTGTACTTAATCAGGTCTGTAGCAACAACTGAGACTGTGCAGCCCATGCTGCATATATGGAGCAGAAGTGAATATGGCAGAACAGCAGTCAGCCCATACAGTTGCCAGCAAAGGTGTTAATATTTTTCTCAGTTCTCATTGAAGCTCATTGGGATATGCAAAACTTGTTCGTTAAGCACCGCTGCAGAGTGACAGATGCTGACATATATAATTTGACAGCTGCAAATACCAGGTACTAGAAAGTGTCATTTCCCATAAGTATAACATAATGGGTCATTATTCCCTGACAGATTAAAAACCAAGTACTATGAATAAATGAATCCGTAATCCTGTGTACTTAAAAAGAAGAAGAGAACATTCTTTTTCTTCTTCCAGAAACAAAGGTGATTTCCTTTGTTCTCTGCTCACCTGCATGCACCACCAGCAATTCTCAGCTCACTGACAAGATGGAGCAGAGGAGGCAGTTGCTCACGCCATCATTTCAGACATTCATGTGCCTAGACAAAGCATGCTGGCTCCCTAGATAGCCTGTGCAGAGATGGCACATGCATCCAGCAGGTTATTCGGAGGAGAGGCTTATGCAGGAGCCTGTGCACTCAGGTTAGGTGTCTGATATGAATGGTGCAAACACTTGCCCCTCAAGTGTTACTCATCCAGCTTTGTGCTGATCACAGGACATCGGCTGCCATGTGGCCCCTTCAGGAGTGCCTCATCTGTGACTGCTTCTTGCCTTTAATTCTGAGCCCACATCTCTACTGCTGGTACACTGGTCACAGTGAACTTCCTCAGGCAGACAGCTAACAGCAAGAGACCCCTGAATTTTTGGAAGGAGCGCTGCTAAATGTTGGCCTTACTCAGGGCAGGTAGGGGAAAATCTGTCCGCTGGTTTGACAGCACAGGAGAGGAGCAAAGACTGATCATACTCAGCAGAGTGCTGCTGAGGCTGTGATTGCTGTGCTTGCTGTAGGGCTGTGTCATACTGGGGACAGGATGTTATGCCTAATGTGGCCTGAGTCCCGAAAAGCCACTGTGTGCCATTGATAATATTGATAGATTTTATCATATTTAGCAGAGATCTGGTTGAACTCAAATGGTTTCCCAGTTCATGTCTGTACATACCCACAAGTATGGCTACCTTGCAATTCACAGTTAAAACATGGCTATAATATACCTTGTCCTTCCTTCCATGTGATTATATCTTCTGTCTCTAGGTGGAGACTGGTGACAAGTGGTGTTCCTTAGGGTTCTGTACTGGGACCAGTTCTATATAACATCTGTCAGCAGCATGGATTGAGTGTACCCTCAGCAAATTATTGGACATGTGGTGTTTTTAATCCTGCTGGGCAGCTGAACTCCATCTCATCCATAGCTACTCTCTCAATCCCCCTCCAAAGGAAAAGGG